AAAAAGCCATGGCCACCCAATCACATGGCCCTGCCCACATAGCCACATCCACCTAGCCACGCCCACAGAACCGGTAGTAAAAAAATTTGAATCCCACCATTGCATTGCCTGCTTTTTGAATGTCTTGTTTGTTTTCATTTTGAATTGTTTTCACAACAGTAGTCGTTGAAACTTTCTGGTTATTGTCATCTTGTAAATTGTGTGCTTTTTTTCCCCTCTCGTCCATCAAAAGACCTCATAGCCTAGATTTATGTCATTTATTTCCTGATTCCAGCAATCAGTTTCAACCTTGAAATCTACAACTATTGTTCTCCATAGATCATATGACTCATCATATGGTTTGATGGTGAAACTTGAAAAGCGTGTCATTGATGCCATAATCTTTCTAAGTTATATTCTTGAAACTAAAGATCTGTTGGAAAAACATTGAGATGGAATAACCGGTCTTTCTGAGCCTGGAAAAATAATTTCATATACAGGTAGCCTAAGCAGATTTTTGCAGGCTTTTTGCTGTAATTTTTATTGTAGATACGAAGAAAGTTAAACAGGGCATTTTCCTTCCCTTCAGACCACAGATTTTGTTGTGTCTGGAAGGATGGGTCCAAGAACGGAGACAGGCTCAGAAAGTAACTACAGCTCTTTATTAGTGACTTCAGATCCAAGCGAAATGCCCTAGCCGCAGCAGCCCCTTTTATAGAGCTGGCGGCGGCTATACGGCCAATGACAGAGGTTTAAGCTTTCCGCACTTGGTTAGCCCAATCACGGCAGCCCGTTTACCAGCCAATCGGATCAGTCCGGAGTGACCAATCACGACCCGCTGTTAGCGGACCAATCCGCTTTGCAGGCTTTCAAGCCTGCTAGTCCGGAACACCCCTCCCCTCTAGGTTCTGTCTAAGGGGTGGGGTTATATAGTCTCACAGGTAGGCGGGTCTTCGCACCTGTCTACCAGACTTGCGTTGTTCGAATTGTCTTTGCTCAGTCTCTGGTTCCGACGGGCTGCTTGCCGGAAATCCCTGGAACGGTGAGCTGGTTCCATAGTTGTGACTCCCTTCAGGTGACCTCGGGATGAGTGGCACACCTCCTTCGTTGCTAGCGCTTGGGCTCACAGGGTTCGCTGGACCTGTTCGGTTGCTGCTACTAGGTGAGACGATCACTTGCCAAGGCTCTTCATCAGCTGGTGAGTATTGTAGGCTTTGATGTGGTGATTGTGGGGTTCTTTCTTCTATACCAGATGTTGGTTCAATTTCAGAACCCCTGATTTCCCTTCCCCCTCTGGTTTCGTGGTTAGGGCCACTGATGGGGGATGTGGTTAGCCTGGATCGGAGCTGGTCAATGTGGCGTTTCCACTCTCTCCCATCTGTGGTCTCTAGCCGGTACGAGCGGGGGCCTGTAACTTGAGTTATTTGGGCAGGGATCCACAGAGGGTCGCCTGTAAAGTTCTTTGCAAATACAGGGTCTCCTACCTTAAAGGCACGGTGTTTACTGCTGGAGCCCAAAGGTTTCTCCGGGGTGTATGCAGGATGTAGGCGGTCTAGCGGAGATCTAAGTTTTCTGACCATCAGAAGTTCAGCTGGGCTTTTGTTGGTTGTAGTGTTTGGTGTAATATGCTGGAGAAGGAGCATCCTGGTGACTTTATCGTGGATGTTGCCATGTTCCATTTTTTGTAGTGTTCTTTTTGTGAACTGAACCATTCGTTCAGCTCTACCATTTGCCGCCGGGTGAGCTGGTGATGTCAGTGCGTGTCATATGCCATGGTCTGCTAAGTATTGTTCAAAGGCTAAGGCGGTAAATTGAGGGCCATTGTCGGATACCAGGACATCTGGTAACCCGTGCATTGCAAAAAGTCTGTTCAATTTTTTGATGACCGCATCTGTGGTGGTGGTCTTCATTTTATTAACCTCGAGCCAGTTAGAGTATGCGTCTACTGTTATCAGGAAGGTATGCCCTTTTGTAGGTCCCGCAAAATCGATATGGATGCGCGACCAGGGGCCTCTGGGCGTTTCCCATTCGGCTGGTGAGGCTTTTGGTGGGGCTGAGTGTGTCTCTTGGCATTTGCTACAAGTGGTGACCCAGGTTTCAATTTGTTTGTCCATACCTGGCCACCAGGCATAGCTCCTTGCCAGCGCTTTCATGCGCACGATGCCCGGGTGTCCATCGTGCAGTAATTGTAGAACTTTTTTTGTAGTTTTGCTGGTATGACCACTCGGTCTCCCCACAATATGCACCCTTTTTGTGAGAATAGTTCTGTTTGTCTATTCTTAAAGGGTTTAAAGGTTTCGTTGGGTTAGATTTGTGGCCATCCCCTCTCCACCCAGCCAAGAACTCGTGCCAAACATGAGTCTTTTTTGGTGTCCAATGCGATGTCTTGCGCTGTTAGTGGAGGCGAGTGAAGAGTCTCAATCTGTAGTGTTGATAGTGTGGGAGCCAGGTCATCTTGGAGTTCTGGCAATGGAGAGCAGCTCAAAGCGTCTGTGTGGGGAATGGTTTTCCTTGAGCGGTGCTTTAATTGGTAGTCATAGGCGGCTAAGAACTCCGACCATTGAGTCATTCTGGGGGATAAAATATGTGGAGTAGGTTTATCGCCTGCCAGGATGCCAAGTAATGGTTTATGATCTGTGATGATGGAGAATGATCTTCCATACACATACTCGTGGAACCTTTTGATTGCAGATACGATAGCGAGGGCTTCCTTGTCTAGATGACTATAGTTTCTTTCTGTTTTTGACAGTGTTCTTGAAAACAATGCAATAGGTGCCTCTGTACCATTTGGCAAGACGTGGCTCAAGATGGCTCCTACTCCAAAAGGTGAGGCGTCGCAAGTCACAGTTAGTGGGAGTGTTTCATTGTATTGGATGAGCACTGCATCCGAAGTTAAAAGGTCCTTTATTCGTTGAAAGGCATGTTCTTCCTGTCGTCCCCAAATCCAGGAAGCCTTTTTATCGAGGAGTCTATGAAGGGGTTCAGCAACAGTCGCCTTCTGGGGTAGGAAAATGTTATAAAAGTTAACGAGACCCAGGAAGGCTTGACGGTCTGTTTTGTTTTGTGGTCTCGGGGCATTTTTGATTGCAGCCAATTTCTTTTCAGTAGGGTGAATTCCTTGTTTGTCAAGGAGGTAACCAAGAAATTCAACGCTTTCAGTGCATAACTGGCACTTTTCTTTCTTGACCTTGAGGCCAGCGTCTTGGAATTTTTGTAGGACTGTTCTCAGTCGTTTCTCTAGCTGACTCCTTGTTGGGGCGGCTATTAACACGTCATCGAAGTAGGGCATGACCCCTTTAATGCCCTGCAACAACCTTTCCATCAGACTTTGGAAAATGCCTGGTGCTACGCTTACTCCAAACTGGAGTCTGTTACACTTGAACGCGCCTCTGTGCATGACTATGGTTTGGGCTTCGGCGGTTTCAGCATCAACCGGCAGCTGTTGATAAGCTTGGGCCAGGTCAAGCTTTGCGAATATTCTGCCACCCCCAAGTGAGTGAAGGAGATGCTGGACCACGGGTACCAGATAGGCGCTCTGCTGTAACGCATGGTTGAGGGTGGCCTTGTAGTCCCCACAGATTCTCAAGGATCCATCAGGTTTTATGGGAGTCCCAGTGGGCATGATCAATGGGTTCTAACACGCCTTGTGCAATTAGTTTGTCCAGTTGCTCATCAATTTTTGGTTTGAGAGCAAAAAGGACACGGCGTGGTTTTAAACGAATGGGCGCGATGTCAGGGCAGAGATTAAAAGAGATAGGGGACCCCTTGTACTTGCCTAGATTTTCGCTGAAGACTTCTTGGAAGTCCCAGATGAGGGCTGCTTCCCAATCTTCATCTACAGTCTGATTGATGCCTGCCATTTCGATTCCTAATGGCGCAAACCATTGTAGACCCAGTAGGCTGGGTCGGTCTCTGTCAATGATGGTGAGAGGTAGTATTGCAGTGTGGTTCTTGAAGGATACCTGGAAATGACTGGAACCAGCGACCAGAATCCGGTTGCCCTGGTAGTCTTTTAATATAAGTCTCTGAGTGCTGAGGTCCTGGCGGCGGATGTTGGGGATCAGCTCCTTCAGGGTTTTCCAGGATATCATGGATAGGGAAGACCCGGAGTCCACTTCCATGATGAACGGTCGATTTTCAATGTTGACTTCTACACGGATTTTTCTGGTGTCTAAAGATGAGGAGTGGCCGATGGTGATGGTCTGATGTGCTTCTTCCCGTCTGGGTGCGGCGGTAAACTTCCGGGTTCTGTTGTACTGGTTCCACTGGTTGTTTGTGCGGTCACGATTAGTGGTGGGGTTGCCATCTGTCTGTCGAAGACTGTTTTCTTTCCGTATGGGACTGGTTCCTCTTTTATTCCGGCATACTTTAGCAATATGCCCTCTTTTATCACAGAACCGACAGATGGCGTCTAGGAATCTGCATTCGGATCATGGGTGGTTCCCACCACATCCGGTGCATTGGAAGTTCGATTTACGACTCCGTTGGTCTCGCTGTTCGCGCTCTGACCGGAGTCTATGGACTTCTTCTTCTTCACTATCTGATGAGGACTTGATGTCTTCATGGTGGGTGGCTGATGTGTATTTCTCTGATGACGTTGCTGTATCGTTGGTAGGTTGGCGGTTAGTCCCATTGGCCTGGCGCATCCGTGCTGCTGATTTGCGGGTGGCTTCTGCTGCGGTGGCGTCAGTTATTGAGTCTGCGAGAGAGATGTCTCCTTTGGCCATGATTTTGCTTTGAACCATGGGGTCTCTTAGCCCCAGGACAACTTGATCCCTCATGGCTTCTTCGAGATTAGCGAAGCCGCACAACCCGCCTAAATTCCTTAGGTCAGCTACAAAATCCCCGATGCTCTCACCTTTGCGTTGGTCCCTTTGATAAAATTCGTGTCTGCGGATGAGAGTCAGTACTGCCGGTGCGTAGTGGTTGCAAAGGATGGGAGCAAGGGTATCCCAGTCCATCGATTTAACTTCAGCCGGTTTTGCCAGCGCTTTGGCCATTTTAAAAATGGCAGGTCCGCAATGCGTCAGGAAAACTGCTCATTTTTTGCTGGGTGTGGCGTCCTTCAGATTGTTGGACTCTAGGAACATCTGAAACCTGTCCATGTATGAGTCCCAGTCTTCGCTGGCTGGATCGAACGGGGCGGGTGGTATAGCGCCGCTGGCCATTCTGCCGATGTCTGCGCGCTGTCAGCCATGTGGTCTTGTTGATCGTGGTGGTGCTCAGTCAGCTCTGCTGTCTCCGCATCCCATCCTCGTCGCCAGTGTTGTGTCTGGAAGGATGGGTCCAAGAACGGAGACAGGCTCAGAAAGTAACTACAGCTCTTTATTAGTGACTTCAGATCCGAGCGAAATGCCCTAGCCACAGCAGCCCCTTCTATAGAGCTGGCGGCGGCTATACGGCCAATGACAGAGGTTTAAGCTTGCCGCACTTGGTTAGCCCAATCGCGGCAGCCCGTTTACCAGCCAATCGGATCAGTCCAGAGTGACCAATCACGACCCGCTGTTAGCGGACCAATCCGCTTTGCAGGCTTTCAAGCCTGCTAGTCCGGAACAGATTTGGCCTCCTTATCTGTATCCTCCTTTGTCTGTTGAGATAGTTGGAAACTTTAGGTCAGTGATTCTTAAAGTATGGTCCAAGGAGCCCTGAGGAGCTCTCATGACCATTTCAGGAGACTACAAAAATCAAAATTATTTGCCAGATATTGATATTTACAAAAAAATGTGTGGAAGTTTACAAAAAAAAAAAACCACCCTGTAACCCTGAGGCCATGATATAATGCAATATCTGTATCTCTCTGCTCTGAGAGCTTAACGGAAAGGGGACTAAATATACCATTCTTATAGAGTTCCTATTGGTTCGTTCTCTTGGTTCTCTTTACAGGAGCAAAACAATGGTAATCTGTGGAGCCACCCCATTATTATCTGCAGACCAGGATTTCATTATGAAGGGTTGGACAGAGCATAAAACTAGTGAAGAACTGTCAGAACAAGATCAACACAAAATGGTGGACAGAATCTGATGTATTGACAGACGTTACGGGTTTTTTTAATGCTTTTGAATCCCGCACACTGATGCCCCTAGCGTACAGAGATTGTTTGCAATAGGCTTTGCTCTGGGTCCCACGCGAGCACTTATTATCCTTAACTCAATGAGCTCTGTCCTGCTCCTAGAAATATATACACTGTATGAGCTGAAATCTGACTTTTGTAGTTCCCATGGCAACCAGAAATATTGAGCAGCCTATCTGTGGTTAACTGTTCATTAGTCACAAGTGAAACGGTTGCAACACAAACCCACAAATTTGGGTAGTGAATGCTGTTCTTGAGAGACTGATGATGTGCCTGATTGCCTTTCTGGTTACCTTCATTTTTAAATTTTGGTCTTCCTCATCAGTTTCCTCAAAGAGATCTAGCCTCTTGGCCCCTTCCAAATTAGGCAATGCTGAACATGATCCCATCTATTCAACTTTTGGTTTTCTTTATGCTAGCTGCAATTCATCCCTCCCTCTCTCTCTCCCTCTCTCTCTCTACCATTCTGTTTCAGAGATATTCATGTTGGGGTACTTTTGTGCCTGCTAAGTAAACAAGAATAAGGGTGGATGTTTTTGTGGTCTGATAGTGTGAATCCCTTTGTGAAGGAAGCTGGGGCCCAATTCTAAACCATTAAGTCTTTAAAAAGGCACCTAGTGAAGTACGCTCCAAGCCATTGTTGAGAAGTGACGCAAAAAAACCACATCAGGAGGGAGAGGGAGAGGGAGAGGAAAAGCACTCAGTCTAGCTCCCTACCCCCTCCCTTCAACCATAGCAGGTAGCAGAAAAGCCACGGCAAGGACAGAAAAAGGGGTGCTTGTATTGCATCGGATGTGGTGGAACAGACTAATGAGATTCACGCATCTTCTAGGCTTTCTCCCACTAATGTTGGTGGAGATGTGGGGTGAGTAATTTTACAAGACTATGCTATCTGCACAAGTTCAAATCTCAGCAGGGAAGTATAAATCATGCAGAGGCTTCTATAAGGTCCTAGTTGATAAACTTAAGCTCCAGCCCTTTCGGGACAAAGACAAGACAGACAGTCCTATTGGGATTAATGTTGTTGAACTAGGGGTAACTAAGGACTTCAATACTTGTGAGAAAGATTAAGAAAAAAACTGAGTTCTTGCAGTTTTCTTCTATTTGGAAAGTTTTCAGACCTGACCCATTTCTGGGAGGGTTGCATGTAGTGTTCCCATATCTTCTTGCTTCATCTGGCAAGAAATTTGGGTTGGCTGTGTGAAACCCAGGAATGCCAATATCAGTTCTGTGCAAAACCCTTTGTCTCATATGCTCTGCTCCGTCATCAATTCCTTCCCCTACTGTGGTGGGGTTAGGGGCAGCTGAATTTGGCGTTTTCACTGCAGGGTTCCTATCTTTGATGTTCTTCTTTGTGACAAAATACCTATTAAATCCCCTAGGGCTTTATTTAAAATATTCCATTTTAAGAAGATTATGATTAATTTCTTTTCATGCATATGAAGTGTTTTAAATTGCTAGAAAGTTGCTGCTGCTATCTATATTTTTCACAAATTTTGTAGGCTAACTTGCTAATGACTTCCGTTATTTTGCTACTAGTTTTAAACTATGTTTTGAATTGCTAATATTTTAATACAATGCTGATAACTTTCGATAGCTGGCTACAACAATAAATTTTGGGGTAGAGGCTCATATATTCATAGAGGGCCTTCTTCAGGGCACTGTGAATGAATGTAATGCCTCTGAGATTGCTGTGATTTTGTGGGTTCAGTAATAGGCTAGTAAATATCAGAGTCTCAGCTTGAGCACATATAGGTAGTCCTTAACTTGCAACTATTTATTTAGTCATCATTGAAGTTACAACAGCACTGAAAAAGCTTACTTATTACAAGCTCTCACAGAACCATCACAATATCCCCACGGCCACGTGATCTAAATGTGGATGTTTGGTAACCAGCATTTTTTTTTTTTACTATGGTTGCAACTACAGCCAAGCAAAGTCAATGGGAGAAGCTGGATTTACTTTACTGTGTCAAGCACTAGCTATATTGCATTTCTAAAAACTTTGAAAGTTTATGAAGATTTGAACAATATGCTGAGATCACTCCGCTTTCTAGGGGAAAGAAATCTAGGTTCCAATATTAAACACACAAGCCAACCTAGTCAACCTAGCCAAAGAAGGGAGATTGATGTGAAAATGCAAGTTAATACAGGATGTAATCTATGTGAGCGCTGCAGACCTACCCACCGTATAACTGCAGCCATTAAACTGAGCTGTAATTAAATATGTATATAGTCTGGGAAGAGATTTGTTGCGAATTCTTGCTACTTTTTTGTACCAAGTGTTGATTCATTTGAACAATATAAACCTGTCTTCCTGTTAATATATCCACCCTACCCAGTCATTAATCAAAAACTCCTTTATCTGTTCACACCCTCATTATATTTTAATTAATCAGAGATCATGAATTGTGTCTACTGAAACTTGGCAGGACTAGCAGAAAATGTATATTTCAGCACAAGGCTGCACCAGTCACTCAAGCTACCCACAGAATATAATTATTGTACATTAAAAAAAAAAGTACCTGCTTACTGAAGATGGAACCGTGATGTTAGTTACAAGTGGAAAATCAGAATAAGGAAATCAAGTCAGTTCTTGAATTAATTGCAGTGGGAGGGGGAAAGGCAAGGTAGGACGGTTTTTTTTTCAGTTCTAATCTAAGCAAATTGACTCCACTACATGTCCTGCAAAAAGTGAATTTATATACTTCCCATGGTTTATATTTAACGCCTTTCCTTTCCTTTCCTATCCTATCCTTCCCCCTTTCTCCTTCCCTTTCCCCCTTTCCTTTCATGTTAATGCAAGCACAGTTCCATAACAGTTTTGTATATGGAATACAACTATACCTTGAAAATATTATCTGATAAACTGACCTTATCCAAAGCCAAGACATGAATTGAATGAGAAAACTACTGTTTCTCATAGTAATGTGTTTTTAAGGAAAAACAATTTTATTTTCTAATTCCTATTGAGGACCAAATCAAGATGGTAGCTATGTTAGTGATAAGTGATTGTAACATACATACATACATACATACATACGTACGTACGTACGTACATACATACAAACATTTATCTATCAAATTTATAGGACTGCCCATTTCACACGGTGACTCTAAGCAACATGTAACAATTAAATAAAACAATAAATATATTAAAAGAATCATTAAAAGCAGTTATTACTGTCAGATATTACAGATGGATACCAAAAATTCATGTTTAAATTCAGAGTTTTGTTTTCAGTTCACATCACTGTCTAGTTCATCCTACTTCGGCAGAGAGATAAGAATGTTCCCATAATGTACTGCTCTTCTGGTAATTCTCTACAAAAAAACCAATGTGTTTGGGGATACCATATGTTGATTTTTGCATCTTTGCTTTGTCATGAGGCAAGATATTTCTTTTCTCTTTACCAAATATAAACTTCTTGTGATTGTATTTAAAATGAATGATTACACTAAAAATGTTAAGCATTTTTGGGTGCAGAACATTATGCTTCCATTATTATTTAAAATAATAAAATTTAAAGTAATTACTTTTTGAGCTCCCTATCCTTGAATATGTTTTCAAAAAAACCCTCTGTTATATAAAAAAAAAATCATTTCCACTGCAGCTGCTGGTTGTTGTTTTGTATATGCAAAAAGTTTGCCCCACTTCACTAAGGAGCTGACAGGTTCTAAAATATATATGACATATTTATTTTCTTGGAGATTTTTTATGTTTATAACTAAAATGTGTATATTTATCACACCATATATTATTCATCAGGAACACAGTTGTATATAAATAGAAACTCAGATAGTGTGATTCTATCTTTTTAAAATTTGCATTGGCTGAGGATGATCTTTATTGCAAAAACAGAAAAGCAGAACTTTTTTTAACAATATATACTATTATAATTGGGAATGCATACCTTATTTGTATTAGGTATGCATTCCCAATTATTCCCACCCATATGAAGTCTCTGAATACTTTTTAAAAATACCATAGAAATTATAGCACACAAAGAAATTTCTGAAAATGGAAAGTGATTTGTTTCTTTGCTGTGCTTAATTGTGATGCTTGTGCAACATCACTATCTGTATTTCTTTTTAAAATATCTCATCTATTTTTTACCTAATACTTGAGGCAATCAAAACCTGATAAATCTATAACTTAGACAAGTAAATGGATACTCAAATGCATTTTTCTGGGTGCATGAACATGCATTGTATGGGCTTGAATCTGCCCAGATGGTTTTTTTAAATCAAATTTAAATATACATTTGGCAATGGTAGGAGACTCACCTTGGCCAAAGACTCTGAATTCTATAGAAAATATAACTTTGGATAGATTTATCTGAGTGTAAAAACACTCAGCAAATGCTATTACAGCAAAAACACTAAACCCTTTCTGTGCTAGTTGGCACTTTCAATACCTCTCCTTGCCTGCCTCTTTTTCCCCCGTAAAATTTGAAGTGATTGTCTACATTTGGAAGGGAAGAAAAACATTTGTGTGTTGTTTGTAGAAGAAATGCAGCATGTTATGTCTATATAGATTCTCAATCATCCTGGTCATGGTTGTCTCAAGATTGTTTTTCCAAAAGGCAACTGGATTTTCTTGATCTTTTCTTTGAAAACATTTCACTTCTCATCCAAGAAGCTCTTCAGTTCTTAAAAAAAAACAAAAAACAAGAAAGTCCAGATGCCTTCTGGAAAAAAGGACCTTTGGGATACAGCATGAAGATCTAGTCACACAAGTATTCAGCACACATTGGTGGAAGTGAGATCTCTCTCTCTCTCTCTCTCTCTCTCTCTCTCTCTCTCTCTCTCTCT